CAGGGGTGTAGAGCTATTGGTTTAAGCACCGGATTGGCAAAACAGGGGAGTCTGTAAACCAGTCTGCTTTGATCTATGAATTAATGTCCATGACTCGCAGAGTACCTGCTTCCCCCGCAGCTGTTTTATAGGGAAACAAACACTCACACACACAGAGCCAGTGGCGGACTGCCCTTTATCCTGACTTTTTTTTTTCTCTCTGTTTTTTGTTTTTGTTTTGTTCATGTCCCTTTAGGGGCTCCGTTGATATATAACGTTTATTTAAAAAAAAAAACATGTTATACATCAACTTATAAAACGGACAAGTCAAATCAAGCAATCTGATTGGTTCTTAGCCGTGATATACTGAGCGTATACCACGGGTAGAATTGTAAGTTACTTTTCACAACAAGTCAGTATCCCTCCGCGTCTGAGAAAAACAGTATACCGTTGGGCTGATACTGGAACAAGAAAGCAGCGGAGAAGTAACGGGGCAGAAGCCCTCCTTTTTGACGCAGCGGTCCAGACATAGACATGAAACGGCAAAACATATACAGTGTGCATTTCCTTTGGCATTAGGACAGGGATATCTAGACACTTTCCAAGGTTTGACATAATGAATTGTGCTACTTTTAAAGCAAGCTTCGCGTCGGGCCGAACCACGGCCCTTAGCTTTGATATAATGAGCATATACCACGGCCTGTCGTGAGCTATTGCTTAAGTATATTTTGATGCAAATTCCTTCATACTTACGTAAGATTGTAATGCAGGATTTTTACATCCTCCTTTTAGTTTTTGCCTCTGTATGTCCCTGCTGTCCTCACCACGCGGCAACTTATACAGAATTACAAGTAGAGTCTAAAGGGATGTCTTCAAATTGTAAAATGTATCTTTTTACTTGGTGATTGATTTGATATTTAATTCATGAGCAAAATTGTCATCGATGTTTATTGACCGATTTATCTGCTAATGAGGAGATGCTAAAGGTGCAAATGAAAACTGTTGGAGATATGTCACTTAGTCCTCTTTTCCAGTAGACAGCATCAACGGTAGCAGTGAGTTTGAATCTGGGGACTTGGTGTCCACGGTCACACGGGTGATGGTGAGCCAGAACCGGCTGTACAGCGACACCGAGGAGGTGCTGGCTCTGCAGGTGTTCAGTGAAGTGATAGAGATGGAGGGCAAGGAGGTAACATCTCTAAGATAAACCCACAGATCATGATTGATAAAGTAGTATTTTAATATGATTTCACACTCTTTTGGTTTTTATCATTTAGGTCCAACAGCCTGACATGTGTGAGGTGAAGATACTGATGAGCCCAGACTTCCAGAAGCTGGCTCAGTTCACAAACATCTACCCCATCGGACACAGTGAGATCTTCAGGCTTCCCAGGGAGAATGACATGGTGGTCACAGATCCACCTAACCCCAGGAAAGGTATGTAAACATGGAGCATTTGCTGATCGTCGTTATGATTTGTATACAGATCCAGTAAATGTGTGTTGTATTTAAATCAGATGAAGAACAACTGATATCCCAGACCACCAGCCAGTACCCCCTGAAGCACACGGAGACCACGCAGGAGGAGGTGGCCGCCCCGGGGAAGCTCCCAGAGACGCCTCTCCGCATGGACCCTGACCTGCTGTATGATGTCAGATATGATGATGATGAGTTTGATGTCAGAGAGCCAAGCCAACCGGATCACATTCAGATGGAAATTCCACCCAAAAAATTAATATCATCTTACTCTGTAAGCCATTTCTGATGCTAGACCTGAAGACACAGCACACTGCCTCAGAGGTCCAGACATTGCAGGGCTCTCTGAACATAAACGGGATGGAGAGCCAGTTTATCAAAAGGGATTCACTCGTGGTTTTCTTGAAACTCCAGCCCTGGCTAGTATGGCTGCTCCTGCGATCACTGTTACACTGTCCTATGATCATAAAGCATTTGAAACATGTGGGGAGGGTGGAATACTAATGATAGTTTCTATAAAAACATTTCTAGTATTTAAAAATCCAGCAACTCACTGGAAGTTTTTGGAGCTCCATGCCATGTGGGAGAATGCAGAATGCAGCCTATGACACACAGCTGTGTTTTCTAGCCTTCACATGTAGTAGCTGTAGCTGACGTGTGTGTGCTCCCTTAGGCTGTGTGTCAGTGGGTGGAGGAGCTGAGGGAGCGTTTGAGGCGCTTCAGCTCCGAGTCGCTGCCCCTCTTCTTCCTGGTGATGTGGGTGGTGGTGATCGGCGTGGTCGGATCAGCGGTCATCGTCAAGATTTTGGACATGTTCTTCCCAACTTGTGAACACAAGTGAGTTTGTTTCATGGGGAATATGAGTGAATGAATATCCAAAACATGTGATCAGTACCTACCTGATGTCTGCAAAATGTTGATATTTTTCTTACAGGCACATTTTTCACCTAAACCCTCTCACTCTGATGCCGGAGGACGAGAAGCAGACGCTGCTCGAGAACATAGAAATAGAGGCAGAAGAAGAAGAGGAAGAGAAGATGCCTTGAAGGAAGGGGGGTTTTGGCCAGCTTCTTTATTTTCAGTTTGTTCTTATTTGTTCTTTAACTTGGGTACTGCGTTATATTTTCAGCATGGCATGATTTTGTCACAGGCTGGTATTCTGATTTTCGAAGCAGCTCCTCAATTGACGCTTTTAAGCACAAAAGCCATGGAGCAGGAAGTGCTTTAATGCCACCCAATTCCTCAAATTCACTGACATGATGAGAGAGGAACAGGAAGTGAGCAACTGGTGTATGGAGGCCAGCTGTGTGTTGCCCTGCACAGAAAAAGCCATGTCTTTGCTCCTTTGATTTGTCATAAAAGAGTTTTACCAAGTCATAAATGACTGTACATTAATCAACTAGAAGTGACTCGCTTTTTTTTTGAACACGCTTTTGCAATGTGGCTCATTCTTCCATATACGTCTTCAGTATTGTTTCAAAATATAAAGCAAAAAGTAGGGTCATACATGTGGTACTAAGCATTAAACCACACATAATCCATGCCACATCAAGTCAAACAACCAGCCTGCGTATAACATGTTATATGTACAACTCATCGACTGAAGAAACTACTCCTATAATGGAACATAGGCGAGTCTTCCTAAAAGGGCTCAGAATACGTGTCCGGCTAAAGGGAAAGACACCCAGGTGTGCGCACTGCAGGTTAAACCCATACATATGAACAAACTGAAGTGCATGGAGCTGACCCAGTCTCTCTGATCACTGAGAAGACTTTAGGAAACACTTCTGTACAGCTTACATGTTTTATTCTCTAAAATGCAACCCTTTGCTGGATGTGAAGGAAGCTGAGATAACAGATGCACTATAATGACTTTATTCAATACATTTGGAAATATGAAGCACGCAGTGTCTCCCAGCTATCATTCTTTTAGTGAGGAAAAAGTTAAAGGAGTACACCCCCCCCGCCCTCTCTCTCTCTGTTAAACTGAATGTCACTACACTCCCCTTAAGGCTTGCTTTCATATAATGATTGTGTTTCTTTAGAGTGACACTCAGTGAAGGGGGGATTGATTTTGTGTGTGCTTTCCTGTTTGTCATGATGGAGAATGTAAACGTCTTAGTTCCGATTGTCTACACTATATAACATAAAGTACCAATGTGAAAGACTTGTGTAAATAGTCTGTACTTAGGTTTGAATTGTGGAGTGAAAACTGGACTTATGGTGAAGAATGACTGATAAACTTTCTGGTTGTGTTTCCTGGGATGTGTGTGAGGGACCAAGCCGGTGGATGCAAGGCCAGTTAGTGGTCAAAGAGGTGTGTTTAATCAATCCTAAACTAAGTAGTGGGAGCGTTTCAACATGTTTTTTGTGTTATTTTAAAACGCACCTACCATGCTTTTTTCAAACCCCCTTTAAAGGAGCTTGGGTTTTTTCTCCAGTTGATCTGCAGAATGCATGATGTACATTGTGGAAGGTACATGTTAAGTCTGGCTAGTGAACTGCTGTGTTATCCGCAAGAAGAAGTGGGAAGCTGCACGATGACCTCTGTTGGGTTCAAGTGGTCATCTCAATACATTACAGTTCAGTGGAGGACACTACATTAGCCTGTGAGGCAAACAATATGTCAGGCATTAATTCAGACGTGTTGCTGAAGAATACAAATAAAATGTATTTTAATTTGCTCTTCGAAACATGTTACTATTTTAAGACTTTTGTCTGCATTCATAAGCTGGACTGTGGGTTTGGGTCTAACATCCTGCTGAATAAATGCTTCTCTGATGAGCATCAAACCTTCGTGTTGTGTGCTGCTCACTGTTGTGTTGCACTCAGAACACTTGCTGCATTGCTCCTGATATGTGGTGCCTGGAGGGAAAACAGGAGCTCAACATCTGCCCGACAAAGGCAGCTTCCACTGGGACGTGTAACGCCCATCTCCTTCTGTCTGGCTTCAGACTGTAAAGTTCCAAAGATTCAAAGGCCTTGTTGTCATATGCAAAGATGCTAGTGTAGATATGGAACTGAACATCTCCAACAATGCAACATAATAAACTGTATATATAGGACATAAAACAATACAACAAATAAATAATAATAAATAATAGAAAAAGTGTAGAATAAATCAGAATAGAATAGAGCAGACCAATGTGCAAGTAATGCAGATGAAGTGAACTATATATATTAGGGATGCACCGAATATTCGGCCACCGAAAATTATCGGCCGAAAATGGTTAAAAAGGCCCTTTCGGCTTTCGGCCGAATGTCCGCGCCTCTCTCTCTGATAGTTTGAAATATCTCCAAGCGGCAGACATGTTGGCTGTGAGCCAGCCGCGAACATGGTCGCGCGCCGTGTTTGTCGCCGCGTTTTGATTACGTCATCACAACAAGACGTTAGGTTACCAAATGTATAGGTGCATTTGTTGTTGTTGAAGGCCTGGCTCTTAGTCTTTATTTACACTATTTTGTTGTAGGCCTACTGGCCTAGATGTTTATTTTAAAGCACCTTGGCTTTGTTCTGAATGCACTTTGTTGTAGTTATCCTACAGAGAAAAGAAAATGCACTTGACTTGGAATTAATGTACTGTATGCATTCAAAAGTGCTGAATAAATGTTTTATGGACCCATAATAGTGATTATTATTTAAGTTAAGTTTTACCATAATCATGTCTTTTTCCATAATCAGGTAGCTGAACAACATTGGTAAAAAATGTATACATTATATATATATATATATATTTCTATTAATCATTTTTGGCCTTTCGGCATTCGGTTTTCGGCCAACTGTTTCCTATTTTCGGTATCGGTTTCGGCCAAGAATTTCCCATTCGGTGCACCCCTAATATATATGTCATAAAGAAATAAGCTCATGAATGCAGAGAAAGTTATAAGTAACCAAGTAATGCAGGAGTCTATATACATGTAATTAGAATAAGATAAATATTGTTCAGTAATAATATACTGTTTATTGTAGTGAGAAATATTAAGATAAATAAATTGTAAGATGCAACCAGATGAATGCTTTGGGTTACAGGCACTAAACAGAGCTCCAGCTTCGTCTCTGACCTGATGACCAGCATCCCCCACCTATTATCTCATTTTAGTGTAAATTAGATAATAGGTGAGGGATGCTTATTATCTAATAATCCCCTTGACTGTTGATCAATATTAGGTGAGCCACAGAAGTGAGAAGGTCCTCAGAGTTTGTTTCCCAAGCAGACTAAACAAAATTACACGCAAGACAGTGAATATAACAGTTTTATAATACAATCATTGTCAACTTTATTTACATAAATATCTTGTTAGCGTTACATAAAGAAATGTGAGAGAACCAAACTGTTTAAAATCAAATCAAATGCATAAAAAAAAAATGGAAAACAAAACATTTGACATTGATTGGCAGTTCGCTGAGCATCTCATTGTCAGATACAATGGTACAAATAACTATTCTAACACTTGAGAAAGTAACACCAAACAACTGTCAGTGTCGCAGGAAACTTTGTCTCACAGCTACATGATGAAGATTTCAGGATCATTAACACAAGTTAGAAATGTCATCATTTGTAAGGAATGATCAAGTTGAGCCACCTTTTTACAAAATTAACACAATGTACAATATTGAGTGGATACATCTACAGTACTCTCTATTCCAACCTGAATTACTCACTACCCTCTGAACATCATTACTTAAAAGACTGATGCTGGGGGTTTTCAGCAGGACCCAAACTCTTCGATCCATTTTTCATACTTCTCCAGGTCGACTGCAGACACAGATTTGGACACTTTCTTCAGAGCAGACTCAAAGTCCTCCATAGTGGTGGGCATGTGCATTTCATCCCGTGAAATGTTCCGGATCTCCTCTGGTGTGAGGCCCTCTATTCTTCGCCTCATGGCCATGAGAGAGGCGTCCCTGCAACAGAACACAGCCTAAGGTTCATTCAAAACTTTATTTATTTAATTAACTAACCAAACTTATTACAATAATCCTTCCAGCCCTGGCTTTTATTGTGATCTTCTGCAATCTTAAAGAGCCTGTGACACGATTTTCCCCCATCATCCAAACCCATCAATTTGAGTAAATATTGTCCCCTTGAAAACCGTTACTGAACTGATTTTGGATATTTGTACTTTGATAACCATTAATCTGCCCTTCAATGTTGACCATTTCCTGGATCTTCTCGGGGATTCTTCAAGTCCCGCCAAATTATGGGTGACGTCAATGCGGGCACAGCGCTCCAGCTGCACCGTTCAGGATCCCAGCATCTGCATGTAAACGCACGATGGCGCAAACAGCAGCAAGCTCAGACAGCGATGACAGTTTAATTTTGAACGTGTCTGAGAGCTCATATGAGGCTGAAGGATCGGTTTATTTTGTATCTGTTAGAAGTTTAGGAATTAGGTGCGTCAATATGGGCGATCATACGGTCATGTAGCCAGTGGTGGACTGGGACTAAAAATCAGCCCGGGACTCTCGACCGGCCCACTTCGGTACCACTAGTAAATTGTCAACGGGGGGAGTGGGGGATGTCCTAGTGACTTATCCGACCGGCCCACTCTGTGTCGCCTGTCAGCGCAACTTACATGATGCCGTTTAGACAATATAATAATAAAGGGCGGTGCCGGCTGTCAGCGAACCGATC